AAATGAGCTGCTGTCAATCTTACAGGCACATGGAATGTACAGAGGGCATTTTTTTTTTCTTTTTGGGTCACACCCAGCAATGCTCAGGGGTTACTCCTGGCTCATGCACTCAGGAATTACTCCTGGCGGTGCTCGGGGGACCATATGGGATGCTGGGAATCAAACCCTGGTTGGCCATGTTGGCTGCGTGCAAGGCAAACGCCCTACCTGCTGTGCTATCGCTCCAGCCCCACACAGGGCATTTTTAAGTGGAGAATAAGACTGGCTAAAGCTGACCATTGTTCAGTCTAGGTGATAGGCACATTGAGGCCCATTACACTATTCTATTTTTTTGCATTTTGGGTCACACCCAGTGATGCTCAGGAGTTGTTCCTGGCTCTGCACTCAGAAACTACCCCTGGTGGTGCTCGGGGGACCATATGGGATGCTGCGAATCGAACCCAGGTCAGCTGCGTGCAAGGCAAACACCCTCCCCACTGTGTTACCGCTCCAGCCCCTACACTACTCTATTTTCATTATCTTAGATGGACTGTGCCTGGAGCAAAACATTTTCTTCTTTTTTGTTTGCGGGGGGTGGGGGGCACACCTGGTAGTACTGGGGGTTACTCCTGGCTCTGCACTCAGGAATCATTCCTGGTGGTGCTCGGGGAACTATATGGGATGCTGGGGATCAAACCCAGGTCTGCCGCACGCAAGGCAAATGCCCTACCTTCTGTACTATGGCTCCAGCCCCCACAAAATGTCTTTTAAAAAGAAGACAGTGAATTAAACATTTAACACAAAAGGATAAATTCACACATACTCAGAATTCCCAGAACTCTGCTCTCCCTGTGATTCCAGCTCATTTTTTTCTCCACAGCACTAACCAATCTTTATTTTCAAGAAGTTTCAGGCTTACTTTATTTTCTATAGTTACTCCTTTTCTGAGGAAATATGTTCAATACTTGATCTCCTGCCACAGCTATATTTAGATTTTTCCAACAATATTTTTTTAGATCTAAAAAAGTCGCCTGAGCATTTGGACATAAAACAGGCCCAAGTTCAAAGGATTCCAAAAGAAAAGCAGCGGAGAAAAAAGACTAAATATTTCATTTTTGTGGCTTTTTTTTTTTGGTCGTTTATCTTTGTCCCTTCTCACTTAAAAGAATTTGCTAACATTAACATTCCAATTTAAAATCTAAGTGTTCTTATTTTGGGGCTGTAGGTTCACTGACAAAGGAACACAGGGGGGAAAATAGGCCAGATCTAACCGAAATAAGGTCATGGGAAAGCAAAAGCAATAAAAATAGACTCAGGGTCCTTCTTTGGTGCTGGTTCCCAGTGCTCACGATGACTATGTACAAGACATTGGTAAAAGCAAGAGTGGATAGTGATGAACTTTCACTGGAGAATATGACATAACAATGCAAAAGGTGGAAACAGTATGTTTTTCTCTGATTTTGGAGGGAGGAAATTTTAACTTCATCAGCATGTTAGGGAGTTAAAGGCAAAATTTCAGGGCGCAATGATTTTATTTATTTTTGCTTTTTGGGTGCAATGATTTTAAAAAAATCATTATCCGTGGAGTCCATGCCCAATTCAATCAGCTTAATCAATGGCTGAATAAACAGCAGTGTTCCTACATTATATATATATATATATATATATATATATATATATCATTATCAGGGGTGGGAGAGATAATACAGCAGATAGGGTGCTTGCCTGGATTGCAGTCAACCCAAATTCGATCCCCAGGATCCCTTATAGTCCTCTGAGTACTGCCAGGAATAATTCTTGAGCACAGAGCCAGGAGTACCCATGAGCACTGCCAGGTATGCCCAAAATAAAACAAATCATCAATCCTGGGTTGGAATGATAATACAGTGATAATACTTGCAAGGCAAGTAGAGGCAGACCTAGGCTTGATTCCTGGCATGTCATACAGTCCCCCAAGCACTACCAGGAGTGATTCTGGGTATAGAGCCACAAGTAACCCCTGAGCATCACTGGATATTGCCCCCCCCGCCCCCCCCAAGAAATAGTTAGGGGTGAGCACACATACTTTGCATATAGGAAGCCTTGTTTGTTTTTAATTTTTAAAAAATTTTATTTATTTATTTTGGCTTTTTGGGTCACACCCAGCGATGCACATGGGTTACTCCTCGCTCATGCACTCAGGAATTACTCCTGGCGGTGCTTGGGGTGACCATATGGGATGCTGGGAATCGAACCCAGGTTGGCCGCGTGCAAGGCAAACGCCCTACCACTGTGCTATCACTCCAGCCCCAGGAAGCCTGTTTTGATCCCTAGCACCGCATGGTCCTGAGAAATGCCAGGAGCAACCCCTAAGCATATAGCTGGGAGTAGCCCCCACAGTACTATTGTAAAACAAACAAAAACAACAACAACAAAAACAGCCAGAGTTGCTGGAATATGGTTTCATGGTAAAGTACATGCCTGCATGGGTGACGCCCTGGTTTAGATTCCCAGCATCACAGGAACAGTAGCACTGTAGCACTGTCCTCCCGCTGTTCATCGATTTGCTCAAGTGGGCCCAGTAATGTCTCCATTGTGAGACTTCTTGTTACTGTGTGTGGCATATTGAATACGTCACAGGTAGCTTGCCAGGCTTTGCATGCAGGCGAGATATTCTCGGTAACTTGCTGGGCTCTCCAAGAGGGGCGGAGGAATCACACCTGGGCCGACCAGGTTGGCGCGTGCAAGACAAATGACCTACCCACTGTACTCTTGCTCCAGCCATAGGAACAGTATAGCAATGAAAGAGTCAGATGCAACTTCGTATCAAAGCATAGGCTTTCCAGAAATACAGTTCATTAGCTTCTGAAAACTACTATAAAACTTCATTTTAACCTTTTCCTCCCCCTCCTTCACTTGACATGTTGTTTAGGAAAACTCAGCTCTGCTCGTCGCCTGGGCCTGGAAGTTATCTATTCGGTGGTAACTTTTGTTTGAGACAACAGTGAACATTAATGTCTATTTGGTGGTAATTTTTGTTTGACACAACAGTGAACGTTAACGGGGCCGGAGCCAAAGCACAATGGGTAGGGCATTTGCCTTGCACACAGCTGACCTGGGTTTGATCCCTAGCATCCCATATGGTTCCCCGAACACCGTAATTCCTGAGTGCAGAGCCAGGAGTAATCCCTAAGCATTGCTGGGTGTGACAGTGAAAAAAAAAAAGTGAACGATACTCAGGAATCTGCCTCAGAGCCAATACTCTGTAAGGTTCAAAGACAAATCCAATAGATAAATGCAGTGATGAACTGCAAAGTCATACAAAGAAAATTATAATGGCTAATAAAAACCTGAAAATACACTCGCCTTTTCTACTAACAGTCTGGCTGTGTGGGAAGGCAAGTGGATAGAAGTAAGGACCAGTGAAGGGCAGACACCTGTCTACTGTGTACTGACAGGCACATGGACACAGAGATCTGCATGGGGGTGCTGTCTCAACACATCAGCCGGACAAGGAAAGACCAGGAGTCTAATGTCAACACCACAGAGCAGAGGGTAATAACGGTGACTGTCTAGGGATAAAATGCTAAACAGCAGTTACGAAGGAACAAGCTGGGGCTGGAGAGAGAGCACAGGGTGGGTGCTTGCCTTGCATGCAGCGGGTTCAATCCCTGGGACGACATATGGTCCCCCAAATGCCACTGGGGTTCATAGCCAGGTCCCTACACCCCAAGAAAAAAGGAATAACCTTGATCTGAATTTAGCAGTAGATAACTCAGACACGTGGAATGCAAAAGCAAGCTTTAGGACAAATACGAGACAGGCCAGGTGAACAGCATTTAAAAACAGTGGCTAAAGGGCTGGAGAGAGTACCGGGGTGCTTGCCTTGCATGTAGCCCACCCAGGTTTGATCCCCAGCACTGCCTATGGTCCCCTGAGCAATGCCAGATGTGGTTCAACCTCCCTCCCCCAAAAATTAGCCTGCAGCACAAAGACTGTTTGACATACAAATCAGAAGTAAGAAAGAGAAAAGATATGTCTCACTAAATCACAGACTAACTTCAGCAGGACAGAGCAGGGCTAGTGGGGAGGAGACTTTTATCATTATCTAAAGTAATATTCCTTGGGGCTGAAGCGATAGTACAGCGGGTAGGGTGTTTGCCTTGCATGCGGCAGAGCCAGGTTCGATTTCCAGCATCCCATATGGTCCCCTGAGCACTGCCAGGAGTAATTCCTGGCTGCGTGAACCAGGAGTAACCCCTGTGCATCTCTGGGTGTGACCCCAAAAGCAAAAATAAATAAATAAAATAAAATAATATTCCTCATTGTCATGTTTGCTTCCGACGTTTTTGGCACATGAAAAAAGTTGTAAATTTGGGGGAGCAGAAATATGGATGTTCATTACTCTTAACCCTCCCCAAGATTGTGGAATGTCTTTTTCACTCCAAAAACAACATGTAAGAAACTTCTGAAAGACACTGTGTTCCCCAGCATAAGGGAACAGAGCCTGGCTTACACTTGCGCATACACTTTCACAGCTGACAGGCTGTCTAGCCGTCACTTCCACTGTCTCTCCTCACTGCAGATCTCAGGCCCCACATTAGGCACATGCTATCCCTGGGGATGCTCAGAACCAGCTGGGCACAAAGAAGTGCTTAACAAATGAGCTCACCAGTGGGTTTTTTCCCCACTCACATTTTCTGAAGAAGACCATCCCAAATGCAGCACCACTTTATTTATTTTATTGAATCACCGTGATATAGTTACAGAGCTTTCACGAGTTTCAGTCATACAATCATCGAACACCCACCCCTCCACCAGTGCACATTGCCCCACCACAAATGTCCACAGTGTCCCTCCTGCCACCCCCCACTCCACCCCTCCCTTGCCTCTATGGCAGACAATTTCATTCTTACTCTCTTTACGTTTGGGCATGACGGTTTGCTGCCCCACTTTAAATGCTTTGGCAAACTTATTTCATCTGGTGACTTAGTGGCGAAAGGCTGGCTGGGAAGCCATGGCGTGCCCTCTCTGTACCTTACCTGTGATGTGGCCGTTGTGCTCTTTGAGCTCGTGAGCTCTCACCCACTGGCTCCCATTCTTCTTATAGATGTGCACCTCATGATTGTTGGGGCTCAGGGCAATCTCTGGGGGGGAAAGGTCAGTGAAATGGTTAGCATTCAAACTGGAAGTGATCGCCACTAAAGGAAAGGGGGGAATATGTTGGAAGGAAGAAAGGGAGGGAGGGAGGGAGGGAGGGAGGGAGGGAGGGAGGGAGAGAAGGAGTGAGGGAGGGAGGGAGGAGAAAGCTGTTTTGAAGCATGGGTCCCAGACTGGGGAGCGAGCTCAATGGGGCAGCACACAAAGCTTGCATGTATGAGGACCCCGTTTGATCCCCGATACCAGATGACCCCTGAGCACCACTGGATGAGGCCCTGGTGGCTCTAGCTCTGCCAGGTTTGTACTCCAGAGATGAATATCAGTATGCATCTCTGTAGTCTCGAATTAGGCAATGAACTCTTACTTACAGCAGCAAATGCATAAGCAACAATAAAATAGAAAAATCGGACTTCTCAAAAATCCAAAGCTCTGAGATTATCTAATTTTTAAGAGAAGTTTTTAAGGTATATAACTTTTAAGAGAAGGTATATAACTTATAAGAGAATGAAAACCTGGGAACTAAAAACACATATTCATGAAAAACTTGCATATGAATGGTCACAGTAACCTTATTGCAAAAGCCAAAAAATGAAAACCCAACTGATGAACAAACAAAATGTGGTATGTCTGTACAAAATTACTCAGCCAAAGTAAGGAATGAAGCTGTGATAGGTGCTACAATGTGGATGAAATGGAAAACACTGTGCTCAAAGAAGCCAGATGCAAGAAGCTATTATACTGCTTCCATTTGTACAAAATATTCAGCTGGGCCAATCCATGGAAACAGAAAGGAGTTTAGTGGTTGCCTAGGACAGACAATTCTGGGGCACAGTGGGAGTGGCTGCTAAAGACTGTCACCCTGGAGTGATGAGAACGTTCTGAAACTAAATGGTGATAAGAGTTGCATAAGTCTGGGTGTATGTAATTAGAGTTAATGAATTATATACTTTATTTATTTTGTATTTTTGGGGGTTTCAAGGGTCACATCTGTAATGCTCAGAGGTTATTCCTGGCTCTGCACTCAGGTATCACTCCCAGCAGTGCTAAGGGGACCATATGGGATTCTAGGGATCAAACCCAGGTCAGCCATGTACAAGGCAAGCACCCTAACCACTGTGCTATCTCTTCAGTCCCCTGAATTATAAACTGCTGAAAGGGTGAATTTTTTTTTTTTTTTGCTTTTTGGGTCACACCTGGCGATGCTCAGGGGTTACTCCTGGCTCATGCACTCAGGAATTACTCCTGGCGGTGCTTAGGGGACCATATGGGACACTGGGAATCGAACCTGGATCGGCCATGTTGGCTACGTGCAAGGCAAACGCCCTACCCGCTGTGCTATAGCTCCAGCCCCTGAAAGGGTGAGTTTTATATTAATGTGAATTGCACCTCAAAGAAGTTATGTAATACTGTAAATACAATCTAGGCTATAACTGACAGACACAATACCATACTTTTTCCTTGAAAATTTTTATTTTTTGCTCCATCCTTACATTATGTTACTTTGCTTGTACTACACCTACTTATAAGAATTTTCTCCATTTCCAATGTGCTGAAGACAGAAAATGAGAAACTCATTTATGCTCATTACAAACAGCATAAATCCTAGTTTACGTTGCCTGCAGAGACTCAGAAGTCAAGCTCACCTCTGTTAACAGTTTATTTTATATTTGTTTTGGAGCGATAGCACAGCGGGTAGGGCGTCTGCCTTGCACGCAGCCAACATGGCCGACCCGAGTTCGATTCCTCCGCCCCTCTTGGAGAGCCCGGCAAGCTACCGAGAGTATCTCGCCCGCACGGCAGAGCCTGGCAAGCTCCCCATGACGTATTCGATATGCCAGACACAGTAACAACAAAGTCTCCAATGGAGACGCTACTGGGTCCGCTCGAGCAAATCAATCAACGGGAGGGCCTTTACCTTACCTTTTTTGGTTTTCAAGACACATTCAGCTGTGCTCAGGGTTTACACCTGGCTCTATGCTCAGGAGTCACTCCTGGTGGTGCTCAGGGGACCATAGGGGGTGCTGGGAATCAAAACTAGGTCAGGCATGTGCACGCAAGTGCCCTACCCATTGTACTATCTGTCCATTCTCACCACTGAAGAAGTCCTGGTAACACTCGAGACCTTGTTTTTCCTATCTGTAACCCCAAGAATTAGCTAGCTTTTCTTCTAAATCTATGTTCTGTCCCATTCACGGCTGACAATAAAATATGTGAGTCCTACAAGTTCATAAATCTGAAAACATCAAAGATACTAAAATAATGCAGCAAAATTAACAGGATACTTACGGGTACGATCCCTGTTCCAGGCGTGACAGGTGATTGGCTCTAGTAAAAACTGATGCAGGGACATTATTCTTAGTGTTCTCAAAGGATGAAAGGCTGTAATGAGTAACAGGGGAAAACCTTTTAAAATGCAGGTTTTGTGGGAGAGAGTACAGAGTTAAGGCACTTGCCTTGCTCACAGCTAACCCAGGTTCAACCCTCAGCACTGGAAGTCGCCTGAACCCTGCCAGGAGTGATCCCTGAGCACAGAGCCAGAAATAGATAGCCCCTGAACACATATAGCCCCCTCCCCCCAAACATTATTTTTCTGGGAATTAAAATGTTTGGAGATAAATAAAACATTATGCTTGCATTAAAAAGATGTCAATATTTAACTGCAATTAAGTATTAATCAATTAAGTTAAACAGAAGTAGCATTGTAACAACTAATATGTAACATTGTCACATGTCAACAAGGGACTCAAATGATAGATTAAAGACTTGTTGGGTTACAGAATATTCATCGTTCCAATTTATCATTCCACAGATTACTTCATTACAAAGGGAAAATATACCTCTAAAATTAAAAAAAAAAACCTGCATTTAGTGTCACAAATAGTGAAACAATCTAGCTTAGTAGGACTCTATAGAAAGTCACATGAGACCCATGTCATCACATACAATGACCATGTAATTTATCAGCCTGACTAGAATCCTTTTAAGAGAGAAAAATCTGATAACACGGTTAATCTCTTTATGGGTATTTATGGCAAGCATATTTACTCTAAATCCAATCAAGAACCAGACCTAACTGCTAGGTTACAGGAAGTAAAGAGAAAGGGAACCAAATCTGGTCAGTTGCATGCCAGGCCTTACCGGCTGCACTCTCTCTCCTGCTCCCATGTATCCTGTTTTGTTGCTTTTGCTTACTATGTTTTGGGGTCAAACCCAGTGGTGCTCAGGGGTTATTCCTGGCTCTGCACTCAGGAGTCAGTCCTGGTAGTGATTAGGAGACCATATGGGAAACTGGGGATCAAACTTGGGTCTGCTGAATGCCAGGCAAATGTATTCCCTCTGTATTATCTCTCTGGCCCACCATGTGTTCTACTCTTAAATTTTTTGGTTTGTTTTAAATAAAGCAGGACTATGCTGGGAAAGCATTTGCCAGAACCCAAGTTCAAACTCTCATGTCACCTGGTCCACCGGCACCACCAGGGGTAGCCTGGGAAACCCCCCAAGTACCACAAGGTATAAGCCTGAAGGTCCCAGCAATACCACAGTGGTCTCTGGAAGTCCCCAGCATCATGGAAGCTATGGGGTCCAAACTCAGGCCCTGGCACTAACTAGCCCCACTGACTTGGAGGACTATGTGGTGCTCTGAGAACTGCTTAGGAGAGACCATCTCTTTCACCCCACTCCCCCCAAACAGCAGCCATTCCCAACAGTGCAAATGTGGCTCTGGTGATAAAACCCAGGGACTCAAGCTTAGTCTTTCCTGGGGGGGGGGGGGGGGGAGGCGTGAGGGGACGCACACCCAGTGGTTCTTGGGGCTTACTCCTGGCTCTGAGATCAAGGATCACTCCTGGGGGGGTCCGGGGATCAAATCTGAAGCACCAGGAAGCACCCTACCTGCTGTACTATCACTCTGGTCCCTAAAGCTTCTTCAAATTTTTTATTAGAACTTGATGAGAACCAAGAATCTGTGAAAATAATTTTTAAAAATATATTCTCTATTTCTTCAGCACCGAAATCTAGATTTATTAACCTATAAGCTCCCTCCCACTTTCAATCATTTGTAAGAGGCCCCATCATGACACGGAAGTTTCAATACATGTAAACTTAAGTATGTTAACCTAAGGTGGAGACAAGTGAGATAGGGATTCCTATACAGGAAATAAATGGAGGTGCCACTGGATGTTGTGAGAATAATCCAACTCCAACAGGCAAAGTAGTTTGGAAGCAAATACACATATAATTGTTATAAAGGAGGCCAAATAGTAAATAAATAAACAGATAAATAATAGTGTAATTAATATCTGATATCTGGAAGATGGCAGAAAAATGTCAGCATTCAATATACTGGTCTAAGAGTGAAAATATGGGGGCTATTCACTTTTTCCCTTCAAGTTTCAGAAAGAAAATTCCAGTTCACAAATTAACAAATAGCCTCTAATTTAAAAAAATGAACTAAAGATGACTAATTTGTTTCCAGGGGCCAGGGAGATAGCTCAGTTAGGAGCATATGCTTCGCGTGAAGGATGCCCAACATGGATTCGGGCACTGCATGACCCCAATAGTACCAGCAAGTGTGACTGCTATACCAAGCGAAGTTGGTACCTGAGCACCACCAGGTGTGGCCCCCAAACAAAAATTAAACTTCAGATAATTTTTACAACTGTGTGACTCTCCCTAACAATGTCTGCTAGCTACTTTAAATAACATAGGATACCAATATCTCTTTCATTAAATGTAATTTAGTTTAAAAGCCACATTTTATAGGCTTGTTTGTTAATTAAACACATGTGGACTGCAAAGTAATAACTGAATGTGTACAAGCAATAAAAGCATAAATTTCACGTATAGTTCTTAAGAGCTGCAAAAGCTTTCTCATTCAAGTCAGTTGGATAGGCAATGCAGCAAAGCTCCAAGAGGTAAACATTCAGACAATGCATAATTACACCTAAAATTGCACTTCTAATTTCGGTATATCATTCATATTCTATATGTGGACATACACCCAGACCTGCACTTCTTTTATAACCATGTGGCTATTTTAAGTCTAAGCCAGGAGGACACTCATATTTGACAATGACAATGTACCCATCTTGCAGTCACCAAATTCATGAATAAAGAAAAACACGTTGAATTTTGTACCCAGAAGATACCTTCTGTCATAGGGTGGAAATTATAATTTCTAAACTGTGATTCAAATTTAAGTGAAATCTGGAAATCTTTGCTTTAATGGATATAGAAAGAAAAGGAGAGAGACAAAACGCTGGTGACATGGAATTAATTTTTGTACTGTTGAGGCACAAACTCAGACTCACACATGGAAGGCAAGTACTCTACAGTTAAGTGACATGTTCAACCCCTCTGTGACATTAAATTTGGTAAGCATCTACTGATAACTTCTTTTTCTCTTTTTGGGGCACACCTGACGATGCACAGGCGTTACTCCTGGCTCTGCACTCAGGAATTACTCCTGGCGGTGCTCGGGGGACCATATGGGATACTGGGAATCGAACCCAGGTCGACCATGTGCAAGGCAAACGCCCTATCCTCTGTGCTATCACTCCAGCTCCAACTGATAACTTTATAAGATCTAAGCATGAGGGAGATAATGATTTGCAGCTAATATAATGATTTCAGGGACCCCTGCCACCTCTAGCAATTCTGACATTGGCTTCAGCCAGGCCTGAGGTAAGGGTCCTGGATTTAACATAAAACTGACCTAACAGCTGAGACCATGTTACTCAGTATCTCTAAATCTGTTTTCCTCATCTGTAAAAGGGCCATTGATCACTGACATCCCTAGGTGACTGGTAGGATGATGAAATGAGGTAACAAAATGAAAGCATGTTCATTCCCTTCCTTCCTCCCACCTGAGGCTTTGGATCATTCCTGAACGGTCATGCAAGCAGCAAACTCTGACCAGGGCAATGGGGACAAATGCATACATATTTATCTTCATACAAGTAGGGATTTCAGTTCCCTGCTCAGGCTGTTTCAAGACTATGATTCATCCCATTTTTAAGTACTCTCATAACCCAGCCCAGCGACAACAGGTTCTCCAACCAGGGCACCACGCCCTCCGGAACGCAGGGACAGGTCCCAGTCCTGGGCACAGGGCTTGCCAGCAGGCTACCTCCAACTTCTTTATACAGAAGTAGCTTAGGACTCATGAACGAGATCAGAAGACTAGCATGCTCCCTCCAACTAGGAACTCTTGATTTTCCAAGCTGAGCCCCCCTTTTCACTTTGATTACTGGAGAAACAGAATTCAGAGTCCCCCCCCCCAAGACTTGGCGGGTGGAGGCAGTTGCATCCACTATCTGACAGATCTAAAACATCCTGCAAGACTCTCTCACTCTCTCTCTCTAGGGAGGACTTTCTGGGGTTCTCAGGAGACCTCCTGGAAATACTCCACTTCTCTGGGTGTACCTGAAGGTTAGGGTTCCCAGGCCCAGGGATGTGTCTGCTGACCAGGACAAGTGTGTGCATGGGGGTTGGAGGAACCCCCAGGGCAGCTGCTCCTCCAGTCCTTCCTCCTGGCCATCCTCGCTCCAAAAATACCTAAAGAACCTCCGTCTAAGCAGGTTAGATAGAAACCAGGGCGGAAAATTTTTAGGCAACAAATGGAGGGAGCTACAAGGAGGTCAGCATGGACTGGAGAGAGAGCGGCTTGCATGCAACAGATCCGGGATGGGTCCCCGACACTGCTTACTGTCCCCCAAAACCAACCCAAAGAGGTGAGTGTTTCCTTCAGCTGCCAAGGCCCCAGAGGAAGAACAGATGGTCCCGGCAACACAGACTCTCAGATGTACTCAGGAGGCGGTGGCGGGCGGCCCGGAAGCCCCAAAGAAGCGGGCAGACGCCGGGTCCCCCGGGCAGCCGGGGGTGGGGCGGAGGGCGGGTGCGCACAGATGCTCGTGCAGTCCACCCCGCCCAGCGGGAGGCCCGCGATCTCGCCGCCCGCTGTCGCTGAGGAAGAGGAAACTGAGGCTCGGGAATGCAGCCCCCTCCGCCCAGCACTTCCCAGCCCCGCCCCCCCAGCGGGGCAAACCCGCGGAGGTGGGCGCGGAGCGGACGGTGGGGCCGACGGCACCCAGCAGGCGGCGCCGGGCGGGGCGGGACGCTCAAACCCCCGGGGGGGGGGGGGGCTGGGGTCACAGAGGGCGCCTGAGACCAGGGCCACTGTCGCCGGGCGCCCACGGCGGGCAGTCTTGCGATTCAAGATGCCCACGCAGGCCTTGGGTCTCCGTTCCCCGCCCGCGGGGCGGTCGCAGTTTCACCGGCGGTGCCGCGGGGGGCACGATCGAGGTTTGCAAACGGGGTCGTGGAGGCAGGACAGGGGTCTTTCGTTCGCCTCAAAGCGGGCCCGGGGCGCGAAGCTGCGGCGCGGGGCCGCCCGTGGACTGGGGGAAGCCCGATCCCCGCCCCCTGGGCGCCCGGCGAGGCGCGGCCCGCCCCTCAGTGGGCCCCGCGGCCTCGGCCCCCGCCTCGCTCCCTGCGGCTCGCCTTCGGCGGTGCAGACCCACGGGGCCGGGGGCTCGGCCCTGCCGCCCTTACCTGGGGTCGGCGCGGTCCGGGCGGGGTCGGAGCGGAGGATTCGCGGACTCTGGTCAGTCGACGCGAACTGGCTCCGGCGGGCGCGGGCGGAGGACTGAGGCCCGCAGGGAGCGGCTGACAGATCCCGGAAACGGCCACGGCGCCTGCGCAGCGCCGCCGCGCGGGCGGAGTGCGCATGCGCGGCGCGGGCGCGCGGCCGGAGTTCGGAGCGGCTGAGGCGGGGGCGCGGCGCTCGGCGGGTGGAGACCTCCCCGGGGCCCTCCGGCCCCTCTGACGCGCCCGTGGGGGGCGGCGAAGCATCCGGGACGACCTCTTGCTCTTTGTCTCCGAGAATGGGCGCAGACCCTTGGGTTGACTTGTGGAGTTTCTGTCAGGAGACGGCATCGGGGTGTTAGCAGCGCCTTCCAGGCCTGTCAGAGCCCCGGGGGTCCTCGCTGCCGAGGAACCTTCTCGGACTTTCCTTAGTCAGAATCACATGTTCCCGACTGAGAATCGGCTATTCCGTTTCGCCCCTGTAACCCGCGAAGGCAGTGCGAGCTGTATGGAACGCCCCAGCCCAGCCGCCCCCCCCCCCAACTTCTTGCTGGACTTACTGGCCAGGAACCCCCTAGACGGGGTGGGACAACCCCGCTGCCACCGGGCTGCTGCGGGGGAGTTCAAGGTTGCCCCCCCATGACACCAGCACTACTTGGTCGTTATGAGATGGTGACACGTGAACGCTCCAGATACCGGTTTTTAGGGTCACCCCATGTATTTGGGGGGCTTCACCAAACTGTCCACAGAGCACGAGGTTTATTTATTTTGCCCCTTGGTGTACAGATGGGCAGGGCAGGGCAATCTTTGAAACTCTCCCTTCTCCCAGGTCTCACGGGTCTGCATTTCCCTGAGCCAGTCGGGAAGGAAGGCCACATGGGGACCCCCAGAGACAGCTTTAGGTGGCTTACATCTCTTTACCGTGGAGGGTTTCTTCCTAGAAGGAGACAAGTACTCAGAGTACTGAACATTTTAGGATGGAGAAGAAAAAGCCCCAGATGAGTAACAAGCACTTAATCCTGATGTGAATTGGAGCTTTTCATTTTCACCCTAAGAAGTTCACCATCAGACACGTTTCCAGTTTGATGAGACCTCATTCATATGGGATATAGCTCAGTAGCAGAGCAGTTTGGTTTGCATGCGTAAGGTCCTCGGTTCAGCCCCAAGGACCCCTTTCTCCCCCTCCCCCAAAAAAAGAAACAGGAGGAAAAGAGAAGATGGACACAACCATGGGATGATTTGTTTTATTGATTCACTTGGAATAGGAGTGAATTGAAATTTTGGTCATATTTAAAATCACCATCATTGGGCTCAAAGGCACCCAGGAACAGAGATCCTCTGCCTGCTCCCCCCAATCTCCAGAGATCAAAGAATTAAAACCAGATGCCCCACCCTATCCTGCCCTGTCTGCTTCCACCAATCTCCGAAGAAACAGGGATTACACACAGAAGACCCACCCTACTGGTACCAGATAAATACCTCATTGGCAGCCGTCCACTACCTCCACTACCACCACTACCTAGCCGCTGCCACGCTCCAGGACACTTTCTAAGACACTTAATACCCATCTTCCAAGATTACCGCACCATATTTGATAGGGTTCAAATATGGTTTGAACCATGGGAACACTTACAAGGGTGACTAGAGGCCGCCTTAAAAGCTTCTATCCCTTTCGGAGAGTCTGGCAAGCTACCAAGAATATCCCGCCTGCACGGCAGAGCCTGGCAAGCTATCCGTGGAATATTCTGTGGCCAAAATCAGTAAATACAATGGGTCTCATTCCCCTAACCCTGAAAGAGCCACCAATACAGCAGCATTAAGAAGGATGAGGAAGGAGAGGCGAATAAAATCTCAATACCGAACAAGGCTGCCAAAACGAAGGACAAAAATGACTGTACTTTCAATGCACGTACGCTGGCAGCAGATGCATCCATCAAGGACCTGATGGCACAAGCACGAAAGATCAAGTACGACATCACTGGTCTGATCGAGACCAGAAGGCATTAATCACATCACTCCATTTTCAACACTGGAGAAGAACTGTTCTTCAGAACATATAACAAAAGAGGCATCAGTGGTGTTGGTGTCCTAGTCAACACGAACTTGGCCATGAGCATTGATTCATTTGAATGCCTAACAACCCAAATCAGACGATTACCCTTGAATAGATGTGGCTCACTACCAGCAGTTTCTTTCTTCGTTGTCTATGCAACAACATCCAATTATGATGAAGGAGAAATTGAGAAGTTTTACATGGAGCTGGAGAAGTTCTATAAAGACCACAACTTCTACAAGATAATTGTCCGTGATTTTAATGCCAAGACCGGACCGAGAAGATCAGCCAAAGAACTCCACATCGGGACCCATGGCCTAGAATGGAACGAACTGGGTAAGGCTGTCTGAGTTCATCATGTCGACCAAGACCATCCATGATTACTCACAGTTCCAGAAGGCTGAATCTAAACATTGGACATGGGAGTCTCCCAGTGGATGGTTCCACAATAAAATTGACCACATCGTATTCAATCAATGGTTTTGCCTGACTGATGTTGCTGTTGTCCTAAAATTCCAAACAGGATCGGACCACCACCTCCTTCGTGCAAAATTCTACGTCATGGAGCGGGGAGAAAGGGCTGCAAAGTTTAAGAAGAGAACTCCAAGAACGACCACCAACTGGGAGCTCTTTGGCACTATTGTGACAACATGGGAACAGGTCGTCGTTGACAACATTGACGAAGAATACAATCAACTGGTTCAGCATCTCCATGATTGTATGAGGAATGCCGAGAGAGAGAATGCCACAAAAAGACACCTGTCTTCCAAAACTCTCAAGCTCATTTGCCAACGTGGCTTGGCACAAGCCTTAGGCAACCGCAAGCGAACGTCCGAGCTCAAAAAGCAGTGCAGAGAAATGAAAAAGAAGACTAAAAGAGAGAAGAGCAGCAGTGCTGGCAAATGTGGCAGAAGCCGGGAAAAGCATTCACAATGCCCACCTGTCCTTTGCCAAATACAAGACCAAGATGACTGCCTCTGACGTCCTAATGGATCTATCACATCTTCCAGAAGAGCAATAGAGAAGATTATCCATGACTTCTACTTGGATCTCTTTGATAGCCACGTCCAACTGCCCACATACCAAATTCCGCAGGATGGATATGTCATTCCCAATGTTCTCCCCTATGAAATCCGACATGCCATTTCGTCGGTAAAGAAGCGAAAAGCTCCTGGCCCAGACAAGGTCAGACCCGAATGCCTGAAGAACCTGTCATCAGTACTCATCAATACACTGGCTCGGCTCTTCACACGCTACCTGTCTGAATGCAAGGTTCCGTCCCAATGGAAAACCAGCAGGACTGTACTACTGTACAAGAAGGGAGACATCCACAACATTCGCAACTATCGCCCAATCTGCCTGTTGTCTGTTATCTACAAGCTGTTCACTCAAGTCATCCTGAATAGGATTGGCAGAACACTAGATGAAGGACAACCATGCGAGCAAGCCGGGTTCCACACAAAAGAATTCAGCACAATCGACCATATCCACATGATAACCAAGCTCATTGAGGTTTCTTGGGAGTTCAAGATGCCGCTCTGTCTGATGTTCATTGATTTAAAGAAGGCCTTTGATTCTGTTGAGATGGAAGCAGTCATTGAAGCCCTAGCCAAACAGGGTATTCAAACTCAATACATCAGGATCTTCTGTGAGCTGTATTACGAATTCACTACCAGGATCTCTCACCATTCTACAAAGAAGTGATCATCCATGTCAAGAGAGGGATTCGTCAGGGTGATACCATTTCACCGAAACTCTTCAGTGCCACCCTCGAGAATGTCATGTAATGACTGGAATGGGAAGGAATGGGAGTGAGGATAGATGGTCGGCAATTACACCACCTCCGCTTCGCTGATGACATTGTTCTAATAACACCAAACATTAGCCAAGTGACACAAATGCTGGCCGACTTTGACCGTGAGTGTGGAAAGGTTGGACTACAGCTGAATCTCACAAAGACAATGTTTATGAGAAATGGTCTCGTTCCTGACATTCCATTCCCTCTCAACGGAATGAACATCTCTGGATCCAACAGTTATGTGTACCTAGGTTGAGAAGTCAACATGATGAATGACTTGGCACCTGAGTTACGCAGAAGGAAGAGAGCGGCTTGGAGCACCTTCAAGAGCATCAAAGAAATAGTTAAGAGGATGAAGAACCACCGACTCTGAGCACATCTCTTCGATTCCACTGTTCTTCCTGCATTAACATACACCTCAGAGACCTGGGCCCTATGAAAACAGGATGAGAACACTATTCAGGTCTCCCAAAAAGGAATCGAAAGAGCTATGCTTAGAGTATCATGCTTCACTCAAATGAGAGAAAGAATCCAGAGTTCCGACCTCCATCGACGATCAAGAATCAGGGATACTGTTTCGTTTGCCAAGGTGTCAAAAATCAGATGGGCTGGACACGTAATGAGATTTGGAGACAACCACTGGACTAGAGCCATTACTGACTGGATTCCACAGGACGTCAAAAGATCGCGTGGTCGCCCACCTATGAATTGTTCAGACTTCTTCATCAAGACCCTAAATGATTGGTTTGAGGCTCTTTGTGTTCCAAGAACGAGCAGATGCCATTGGGCTACAGTAGCATGCGACGGGGACGAATGGAGGCGTTACTGGCACCCGCTCAAGCAAATCGATGAGTAACGGGATGTCAAGTGATCAAGTGATAGCACCGCGGTTAGGGCATTTGCCTTGCACATGGCCAACCGGGATACGATTCCTCCGTCCCTCTCAGAGAGTATACCAAGGATACTGAGAGTATCCCACCCTCACGGCAGAGCCTGGCAAGCTCCCCGTGGCTTATTGGATATGCCAAGGACAGTAACAACAAGTTTCACAATGGAGACATTACTGGTACTTGCTCGAGCAAATCGATGAACAATGGGAGGACAGTGCTACAGTGCTAAAATAATCAGTTATTTAATGAGTGTTCACCAAATGCTAAGTGTCATTCATGTTCAGCATTTTGTGTAGGATATAGAAGAACTGCCTCAGATCCCTTTGACCTCAAAGAATTTGGAGACTGGAATAAGACCAGTTCACACATTCA